TATGGAAATTCTGTATTAATCTGAATTATATCCAGTAAATGGTACTGGGTTAGTTATATCAATACTCTTAATTAAGAGTTTCGCTTTTAAAAGCAAAAATTCGATATTTAAATTACTTGAGCAAATTTATGATTTAAAATAACGGAGAATATATTATAAGAAAAAGGTAGTGCATTAACACTGAGTCACTTGACCTCAAAATATTTTTTGAACTTATACCAATGTATTTATTAGCAATGAAAATTTGTATTCAGTCATTCATGCAAAAATTTAAATTTATATCGATGAAACCATTGGAATAAATAATGAAGTGAACATTTGTTTATTATCTCACATCATTTTAAAAGCCAGGCTAAAAAGTTTATTTTCACATGCATTAAATACAACTCGAAAAGCCATATAAAGCGAAGGCAGCAACACTTTTGACATAATTAAATTCAAGATGTACTATATTAATCACTGATACGTGGACTTTGTTGTTATAGTGATAAGGTTTTCATATGTTTAAGTAATTAATTTCAAAAAACTATTTGCGACTAAATAAGTGACTAGATTAAGGTTCATCAAATACTGATAATAATTTAATTAATCATTTCCGTCGATAGCATGTGGTCGATAAATTCACATGTGCACGTGTTGAATTTAGGTTTAAAATTAAAATTAAAATTAGGTCGATTTCAAAATTGCAAGTTTTATTGAACAAGTATGAATTTTTAATTCCCAGTGATTTTTGGCGATGAACCGGTTCTTTCTGATCATTATAAAAATGTGTGAAAGCAATTTGATAATTACCAAGTCATTCTAAAATATTTTAATTGTTTTAGGAACTAAATTATAGTTTTTAACTTCCCAAATCAGAGCATTTTTTATATAAGGTTATATTTTTACTTACTACAGTGTATTAAATTGTTCAAAAGTGCCAATGCTTCTTTGGAATTCAAAAATTCTTTAGAGCTTGAAAAATTCTAAAAACAAATTAAGTTTAAAAATTTTTAAAATTTTCTATTCCCATTTCTAGATCACTGATACAAATTATTTTAAATTGGACACGGATTTCTTTTCTATTGTTTTACATGTACTTGAAAAAATAAAATACTTTTCATATATTTAGTAAACATCAGAATATTTTCTGTTATTGTTTATTTTTTCAAAAATGCATTTTCTTTTTTTTTAATTTTCAGCAGCCAAAATAAAAATATATGCATTTATAAATGGATAAATATATTTGTTTTAAATTTCATGATTTTTCATCTATAATTTCTTTGCAATTACTTGTGAACATACATTTGACATGAATATTTCTTATTCTACACGCTGTTTCATTAAAAAAACTTCATGAAATTTTTTGTTTTAATTTTTTATTTATTTATCGGTAGTCAGTTTGCATTATGAATTATTCGATATTAAAATTACTAATCCTTTATGCAAATATTTTTATATTTTATTTAAATTTTAAATTGCTTCGAATAATTTAGCCAAAAGTTTTTTTTTTCCTCATAAAAGCATTTATTTATGCAATTACCTGACGATATAAAGCCACCTGTTCACAGCGGGAGCTGTTTTGAAAAAAAGTGACAATAAAATTCTAAAGTAGCATTTTATTTTCCGAAAATATAATTTCTTAATTAAGCTTTTAAAAGTTTTAATCTCACCGTAGAAATTTAACTATATTACTGATTTTGCAAACGTGTATGCACTACGTTATTTATCTTTTGAGGACTATATAATATATAATGTGTTAGTTTCTACAATTAATTACTTCGTTTGCTGATGTCAAAAGATTTTATGTTGTAAACATTTGTGTTCTTAATTATTTAAAGTATTATTTTGATTCATTTATTATCATGATTTTTAGTCTATCATTTATTTATTTGAATATAATACATTTGTTTACTTGGAGATATATACTTTTTTATTTGAAAACTTAATATACCATTTCGATTTTATTTTTATAACGGCGTAGTTGTCTGTAAACTTTCCATCTACAAATGAAATGCAAAATGAATGCAAAATTTAAAAATATAACTATTAAAATATTGGTGAGTTTGCTGTGTATTCAGATAAATTTTGCATTGAATGTATTTAAAGCTCCAATTCTGTCTGTATGTAATTCAAGTATCTAATTTTTAGTATTTTTTTGATTTACTCTCGGCCAATTTAAGCATTTACCCTTGATTTTGTTTTCTTGATAACCAGTTTTCGTCTATTTTTTCCTCTCGCCAATTTGATTTATGTCATTTTTTTGGCTAATTTTTTTTGAATAAATTTGTCCTGAATGCACGGCAAGAATTCAAATTTTCAATTACAGAATTGATAAATTTTTGCAGCAAATAGTGAAAAATTATAGTTTTGACATTGTATGAAAGATTATTTAAAAATAAAATGAATGAATTGAGAAAATAAGGCTTTGAAGGACTAAAGAATGGCTCAAAACAGGCAGGTGATAAACTTATCACATAAGATCATTCTTGCAATGATATAACTTATTTGCTAACTTCATTAATTTTGTTATGGTAACAAATATATTTATTTTAATTGACCTAAAATTTTCTTAATTTTTTCTCGTACTTTTCATAAATTTGAGCTTTTAGTGACAAATACTTTTATATCAGATGAATGAATCATTTTGAATTGTAACGAAAACCTCATTAATGATTGTTGCGATAAATGTTTACTCAAATTATTTGCTCTAAAGAAGTACAGTCGTTTATTTTCTAATTTTTTCGGTCATGAAAAACTTTTTGCATCATTCTGTTTTCAAATTCGTTAAATTAAATTAATTATATTTACACAAAAACTTCTTTGAAAACATTTCAACATGAAAATGTTTTGTAAAAAGTAAAAATAAAAAGTCAATGTTCTGCAGAGTTCAAGTGGTGCATAATTTGTTTTATTTTTCAGTTCAGTTTGTTATTATGGTATATGTTTAATCAGTCACACAAAAAATATCTGTCATCTTTTTTAATGATACAATTAATCTACTTGTTATAACTCTCTATGAGTACGAATTTCTGAGTTGCGTCTATATTTAACGTGAGATGACGTTTCGTATTAGTCGATGACAAAGAAATATTTTTTTGTCATTGATTGTTCATTTAAATGGATATTCTGAACCGTGTTTCTTTGAGTAGCAAGTATACTCACGGGAGTCATTGGTATCTATTCTTCTTCATTTTTGATCCATATGAACATCAGAACTGAGTGTTGAAACGTAATTTTTTTTCTCCTTCAGTATGCATATAATTTGAAAAGTTTAGTAGTGTTCATTATTTTAAGTAAGTGAAAGAATTATTTTATTTTTTGTACTCAATGGTTAGAATATTTTAATTATCAAATATAATGACTTGGCTCACTTTTCGCTTTCAGTTATTTGAAACTTTCTAATTTTGGAATAAGATTGTCTTATTAATATTTAGCAAACTGCTTTGTCAAAAAGTAAATTTCAAACAATTGAGCAGAAATAATTTCTCTTTAAGGTTTAATATTTTCAGTACCTGTCAAATACCTTATGTTGTATCCATGGAAAAATTTGCATATTTGACAGCAAACTTATGATAATTTTATGCTGACTTGAATGTAATTTAATTACGATACAGTTGTCAAAAGTTTAAAGCGCTTTTTTTAAAATATGTGTGATGACTGCATTATTTTTGTTTACATATTAATTATGCTTTATTTTTGTCTATCGTTTTTTTTGTTATTTGTGAAATTATTATGCAAATAGAGTAGCAAAAAATAGCAATAAATTTTTATGACTGAATAGGAATAAATGAATAAGGATTCATTATATCGATTCGTATGTAATTTATTGACAAGATTTTATCTCTCCGATATAGTAGTATGAATCAAAAAATATTCGTGAACATTTCGTGTGCTACAATCATCAATTTTTGTTAATTTTTGAATTTTAGAAATTTGTTGTCTACTTTTTTCTTGCTTTAGCATTTCCAAAGGTAAGTTAATTTGCAATTTTTTTTAACAAAAAAATTAATGCAAAACATTAAACAATAAAGTTAAATTACGTTAAAAAATAATTTGTAGCTTATGTAAAATTGAAAAAAAATTTTGCTGCGTTTTTAATGTATAGTTTAGTCTTATCAAACTTGTGTAAAAGTAATTGGAGTTCAATTTGCCAATGATATGAGCTTATATATACAAAAACTTTTTGTTGTGAAAAAAAATTAATGTATTTTAGAAAATCTTTCCAGTTTTTTCTTAAAGTAGGAAGTTGGTCTAAAGTTAGTCGTTATCTTTATTTATTTATTTTTTTATGATTTAGAAATGATCAGTTTTTTTGCTTCATTTTGATCTTCACTTAACTTAAATAGTTTTCATATTTTTTACACCTACTTGGTGACGTAAAACACATCATGGAATTCTCAGCAATTATTTTAGCGTCATTCAGCATGATATGTTTTCGTTTTTTAATGTGTCAACATATATGTATATAAGAATAGTGTATTAACATTAGTATCAATAACGAAAGTGCCGTTACTATTTTTCATTAGCAGAAATTTTTTTACTGTTCTTCTTGCTTCTATATTTTTGCTTTACAGTATATATACAATAATAAATTACTATTATCATTATCATCGTTATTTATTATTAATACTACTTATTTACTGGTTATTATTGTTTTTATTGCTATTATTATTATCATTATAATTATTATAATTAAAATAATAATGATTATTATTAATTATATCAATATAAAGTCATGATAAAAAACTTTTAATGTTTTTCAGAACGAGTGATTGTCAATCTGCATTTGTGCAACTGTACTTATTGGGTTCTGTATTGGAATTATGCGATAGCTTTCAATCATAAAATACGTGAAAATAGTAACTTTGCTAAAAATTGCTTACTACTTTTTTACTACATATTGTTGGAACGATTTACTTTCTCAAAAATATCAAATAAATTGACTTATCCGACAAATGAAGACCATTCGTTTTTTCTATTGTTTTTCTGGTAAAATTTCAACTTTTTAATTATTTTTCATGTACGAAAATTATAATTACAATGTCAGTAAGTCTTATTTTCATTCATATGATAATTTACAGAGTAATACTCTTATTTCTATTCTTTTTATCGTTATTTTACTTATAATAAGTTTTCCTTTCAGCAGTTATAGTGTTTGCAGAGTAATACTTCCACATTTATATTAATATTAAAAAATGGTTATTAAAAATAAAATGAATCAGAAATGTATATTTATATAATCACAACATATCTCGGAAATTAATTGAAAAAACTTTCAGCGATTTTTATAAGCAATGCAATTCATGCAAGTAGCAATCCGTTTGCTCAGGGCAATTTGGAAGTCATTTTCAATGCAACCGTGGCAAAATCAGGTGAAGATCATCCACTCAAAGCTAATATACCTAGTTTATGGTTAGTTTAATTACTTTTATTCTTTTGAGTCAGTTTCTCGGTTGAACATTACTGTTAGCTATTTTTATTTTTTCAGAATTTTTTATTCATTAATTAATTTTTGACATAATTACTGGTTTAATCATATATTGCTTTTGAATATGAATAATTTATTTCATTTTTTCGTAGTTATGTTTGTGTTGGAGAAACTAAACAATGAAAATAGTATTTAAGAGTGGCAAAATTGGTTACGAGTTTAAATTGTAGCATCGGAAAATTCACTTTAAGATTAAATTTTTAGTAATTTAAGGTAATGAGTTTTTAATGAATGCTTGTGATTAAAATTTTTTGATTAAGATTGTATTTTTTCGAAATTTTTCAATTTGTATGTGATGAGAATTATTGGGCAATTTTCGTATTATTTTTATTTTAGATCTGGTAGTCAATTTCATTAATTCCTGAAAAGCTTTCTATTAAAATTTAGTAATCAAATAGATGCTTTTTATCGATAATATGAATTTCCTCTCTTAATGGCTTAGATTTTACGCTAATATTTCTGTTATTATACAAATTTAGCAATTTTTACCGCGATTTTTTAATTTATTTTGCCTATTTTTTTCCAGCAATAATTGAAAAGAATAAAATGTAATCTCTTCAGATAATTATAGAAACGTTGAAGGATACATTCATCGCTTATTTGTTGTTGTGTTTTAGAGTAGTTAATAAATTTCGTGGCGTGAAGTAGTGTAATTACTATTTTCTGTTGAAATGAGTTTTATTTGGAGGCGACATTAATAATTGCATTTTACGGAAGTTTATCTGTCTACCACTTATGTGTAAAAAATGGCTTTTTTAATAAGTTAACAGAGTAAAAAATCAAACATATTTTGAGATTATTACTACATCATATATATGTGAAGATCTTTCAGGTGTCAGGCACGATCTAAAGAATCCCAACGATTGCTTTCTATTAAAGAAGCTCATTTTATCCGAGCTGATAACAAAGAAATTTTCCCTGCACTTATCAGCAATCAATCAAGAGCAATTCTAGAGTTCGGTACTGCTACAATATCAAGTGCTGGCAAGTATCGATGTGAAATGACTACCGAAGATGATGAATTAGTTTGGGGATGGTTATTTGTTAACAGTTAGTCGTTATTACATTGAAATTAATCAAGGTTTGAAAAAAGGAAAGAATGAGTGCTAAAATGAACATATATCACTGATAAGAAAGCAAACATTCTGGGCATTTTTTAATGATTATTTCAATTGTTATGTTATGGTAATTGAGTTTTGTTTGCAAATTAGTTTGATGAATTTTAATGATCAGTTTTTGATGTTATCATTCTTATATTTTTAGTGCGTCCGGTGTTTCACGTTAACCATTCTAAAGTATTAGAAACTGTTGGCGACGATCATTTTCGGGTCAGAGCACCCACTTTAAGAGCAATTGAGGGTGAAACTGTAACACTTGACTGTCCAGTGCGTGGTTTTCCAAAACCGACCGTTGAGTGGCTCAAAAATGATGTACCTGTTGGTAAGAATTATAATTGTCGCCATTATTTTTATGATCACCACCATTCTTTAATTTTGAAAAGCTGTTACTTAAACAAATTTTTCATTCCGATTTGTTCAATTGACTTAATGTTAAAAAAGTTAGCTAAAAATTGCTCCATATTTCATATCCATTTGCTATGAAATATGGAGCAATTTTTAAATAGAACTTAATAATTAGTTCAACTGTCTTAATTTTGGTACAGCGTCGACGGAGCAAGTGACTTTCTTGGAAACAGATTTACAAATCTCAAAAGTCGAATTTGATGATGAAGGAGTTTACTCTTGTATTGCACGAAATTCATTTCCTGTCGAAATTGATGGTGAAAGTATTCCATGGGAATCTCGATTAGACCGGGAACTTAAAGTTAAAGGTATGTATATTTTTATTAGCCTTCAGTTGATGAATATTTAATACACTGGAAACTAGCCAAAGTTTTTACTACAAAATATATCGACTGTCGTAATATTAAGTCCAATTTCAATTCTTAACAGTTCACTATAATTTACATGATCGTTGCACAAAGCCAAACTTGTTAGTTTAAGTGCATTTAGGGTTCATAAGAAATAATCGTCTAGTAATAAAATTTCAAGCAAACTTTAAGATTTTATTTGTTTGACTCGACACTTTTGTATTCACATTCCGAGACTATACTTGAAAATTGCTCATCATTACAATTATATTCGCAAAGTAAATTGTAACGGAAGGTAAACTAAACAGGGGCTTATAAAAGTTGAAATTATTAAGCAGAAGAAGATATATTTATTTACTTAATCTGTATGCAGATGATGAGGCATCGTGTAGAAGGAGGTTAATATTCACTTATGGTATTCATCAGTTCAAATATAGCATATTTTAGGCTGCAGATTTTTTAACTAAATCATATCATTCATTTTCTTTTGAAAGTTAGATTCATTAAAGTTTACTTAATCTCCACTAACAGATTTAATAGAAAATTAATACCTTTCAAAGTTTTTAGTGCTCTTTCACTTGTTTTTTTTTGTTGCTTCAAATCAAAACTTTTTTAAAATTTGTAATCTAAAATTTTGTTGGTTTTTTAGAGGTCAAAAACCACGAAGGTATATATTACCTAGGTTCTAAGCATTTTTTAGGAATTATAATTATTATACAGATTTGATTTTCGACATAAATGAAAGTATGATATTTGAAAGCAAATACATAAATTCTCGGATTTTGAAAATTGCTGATAGCGTTCATAAACTTTCGCAATTAGAGAAATACTTCTGTTAATGAATAAATATTCTTACTATTAAAGTAAAATCAAACTTTGCAGGTTCGTACAGGTGGATCTATCCTCTTATAACTATTCTAGTAATGTTCTTGCTGCTCTTCTTAATTATCTACACATGTTCGGCATTTAATCGTCACAGAACTTATGATGTTGAGAAGCGTGAAAAGTATGTAAATAAATGAATATTTATCTGTTTTTGATTACTTTTAATGGTTTTGTTACTCTTTGATTTGTTTTTTTTTCGTTTCAAATCGAAACTTTTTCTAAAATTTGTAATCTTAAATTCGTTCCGTTTTTTAGATGACAAAAATCACTTAAGTTTAGTTGTTAGGTTTGATATACACTTAAATTCCTTACTTAAAAAGGAATTTTAGTGTAATTTAAGCTTGATGAAGAAGGTTATTTGGATGCTGTGTTCATTACTCGATAGGAACTTGCTGATAGTAGTAATTGCTAATGATTGTGTGACGGTAGCTTAAGTGGACATTAATTGTTGCTATTTAAAGCAATAATTACATGTTCGTTATTTCAGTAGCTTGTTATGAATCTCGACGTTTGACTTGTGAAAAGTAAAATACAATATCTATGTCATTTACTTATTGAATTTGCAGACGAAAGAAGCGGCAAACTAGTCTAGAAAATAACGAAAATGTGTTTCAAAGTCAGCCAATTCTGGGTTATGATAAAAACGAACTAGAATAAAGTATATGTGGGGGACAAAAATGGAAATTATCAAAGTTATTTGAAAGAATTTAAATAAAAGTTGGTCTAATTTAACTTTACTAGCTTATATCTGCAAAAAATTTGAACTTGAAAGAACTACCTTCCGGTTATTAAAATATTTTTCATAAAATTTCTCATTTCCATTTTCTTCACTTTTCTTTTTTCAGAAATGTATGCTTTAATATTTTATTTTTGAAGATTTTCACTTCTTGAGCTTTTGTTGAATAGTGCCTGAAAGCTCTTTTATTACTATTTCAAGACAGACAATACTAAATTTGACTTCACAATTGAATTCTATCAAAAATTTTAGCAAAATTCAACGTTGAATTTATTTATCAGAAAAAAGGAATGTTGATTGTTACTTAAATAAAAATCAAGTTTGATTGTTTGTTTTTTGGAAACTTATTTCACTACTCGATATTTGACGATTCTTGCAATATGATCCATTGAAATCTGTTTATTTTTCAGCAATTTTCTAAAATGATCGTTGAATATTTTTCAATAACCAATATGCTTATCGTAAATTTGCTTGTTTTCATTTCATTTGTTATTGTTACTTGCGCATTTTTCTGTTGTTGTTGAATGTCTGAAAATACAGTACGGATTGCATTTTGTATACTTAAGTATGGTCAGCATATATAAATAAATTCTTAATTGTATGTCTAAATTAATTCATGTTTTTATATCATCGTTTAAATTATTCCTTTCTAATGCAAGTGTAATTATCAGTTCATCATTATTTCTTTCGAATTTAATTTTCTAATTTGCTATTCATAAATGTCATTTATTTAAGCTTTCAATTTATTGTTTTTTAATGCTTGAATGCATTTAATGAGATTTTTCAAACTTTTATCTGGCATATTTACTCTTAAAAAAATTTCCTTTTCACTGGGTTTCAATACTTTTATTCACCATTTTTCGCTACCCACTTTTTTGCAAAGGATTGTTTTGTAAGACTAAATGTAGTTTCAGATTTAAAGCATTGGCCATCAGTTTATTAGCTCACAAAAATTTGAGAGTTTCAGGAAGACAAGCAAAAGGTAAATGACATTGCTGATTTTGGAATATTTGAGTGAAAAATTTTTATCGAGATTGGATATCTGCTGAACTAGCTTATAGATCTGACAATTCTCGATCTCACGGGCACATTTCTATCCTATAAAATTTAAACATGTTTTGTTCAGTTTATCCTTCAGGTTTTCAACTTCATTATAATTTGGTTCCTAAAATTTAAATAAATTCTGTTTAATTTATCCTTCGGGTATTTAATTTCATAATGATTTGTTTCCTGAGACTATAATATTTTTTTAGTCGCTGGAATTTATCATTATGCAAAAAACTGGTGATCACTGTTTGTTCAGAAAATTCATTTAATCGTACTTTTAATTGTTTGAATAAATGATTAAAGAATATTGATGTTGATAAATATGCATTCCACCAATTATATTTGTGTATTTAGTAAATGCTTATTTGCACTGATGGATTGATTGGTCATTTGATCATCTTAATCAGAACCTTAGTTTGATGTCTTAATGATTAGGAAAATCGACTAATCTTTATATAATTTAAATAAATATTAAACAATCATGGGCTGAAATTAAAATTAGAGAATTAATTGCTGCTTACATCAATACAGCTATCAATGTTTTTGGTTACAAATTGCTTTTTAGTCAAATCACAAATTAATCTATCTTAATCTCTAAAATTTGATCAAGTAAAAACAAATATGATCTATCACTGTACAGTAATAACATTTGATGCTAGAAATCAGCACAATGAACATGTTTCCTTGCAAACAGTCTCCATAAGTTGACGATAGCTCTGGTTATCGCACAAAGATGCTCGACAGTCCGATGCTATATCTCGACATTCTGAAACATGCATCCCACTCCTACTTGATCCATGGATAAGATGATGACTCGGTAATCGGTGACCTGAAATCTCGTCTATAAATTTTTATTAATTAGCAGTTGTCAGAATAATTATTATATCCAACTGTAACATGACGATGATTTTACAAAAAAAAATATTGTTATAGCATTCTCACTTTCAAATTTATCCATTTGTAACATGATGGTGATTTTATATAAAATTTTTTGATCGAGAAAGCTGCATTTGCGAATTTTTATGAATCAAAGTAATAAAATATTATTTATTTTAATCAGTAGTTAAAAGATCAGTTTAGTACATAACAAAACAGTGTAGAATAAAAGAAATAGAGGTTTCTAATGTACTTCGTGATGAAGTAGTAGTTTCGCATGATTGACACGTTTTTGGACATTCTTTCCTCATAAGACGAGCATAAGTAAGCTCACTGCACAAATGCTGCTTGCCTGAAACTTCACTAAAAATAACAAAATTACTTCTTTCATTTCATTTACGTATACTTTCTTTTAAATATTTAGTTTAAAAATAATGGATTACGCTAATATATACTTTTATCTCTTTAATTTTCAAAAATAAAAAAATATTTATTGAGGTATTTTCGGCCATCTTTTCATTTATTTTTAGTACGATAATAATAAGTGAATATTAAATTTTGCTTTAAAGAATTTTTGAATACAATTACCTTCACAATCAGGCGATAGATCAATACAGTGAGTAGTTTTCACGTTCTTTGTCGTAAAATACGTTTTGGTCGTTGTTGGCAGTACTGTAACATACTCCTCCGGGACTTCTTCTGATTCGTCAATATCCGTTTCAGATTCCGGATGTTCTTTATCGCTTATTTCGTCTTCTTCCTCTGAAGCTTCCTCTAAAAATTTCTTCGCTTCAATAATAAATTCTATTAGTATAAATAAAAAGAAAATTTGAGTATACTAATTTAATACTTTCACACTTTATTTTTATATTTAGCACCTTTGTTTTTCATTTTTTCGTTTTATGTCTACGTTTTTTTGACGTGAAATTTTAATTAAAATGGAAGTTAATATTGTAAAATTATGAACAAACGTGTATTGTCTTCTTCGATTTCATGCTGTACTTTTAGCAAATCTTCATTTCCATCATCACATAAGTTACAAGTTCTGAAAAATTTATGCAAATTAGTATTTGAAATATCATTACAAGATTCACACATAATTATGTAATCCTTCACGTGAGTACATAAGTGTCAGACAAAATTAGTACATGAATTCTAAGCAGAAAAAATTTACGTAAAATACTTACTTTTTACAAAGTGATTGCATTACTTCACGAAATGCATTGCTGTCACATAAATGACTTCTACGCTTGCAATGTGAGGATTTATCAGTGCACATAGCGTGGGATTCTTGATCAGCATCAATTAACATAATAGTAATTTGTAGCAAAAATAATTCCAATAAATATCGATGCATATTTATGTTAAATATAATCGTTTTCAGACTCTTAAAAGCTACAGTTTACTGATTAAATATTCTATGCTTATTTACTCTTTTCTTTTCAAACTTACGGTATATGAATATTCAAATTATTATTATTTGAATAAAATAATTATAAATAGCAAAATTTTTTTTCAACTTAACTCACAAATATAACATATATCGTAGACTTGAAAGGAAATAAAAAAATATTAACATAAAACTGTATCATAGTTACTATTGAACTGTTAGTTAAGTTTGAAAGATGATTAAAATATTTGAACGACTATACTAGTCATCTTATTGTAATGGCCAGTGGTCAGGGGTTAATAATGGTATGAGCAAATGTGGAAGCAAACTAAACTACATTTAAATACAAGTATTTGATTAAGAATGAGAAAGTAAATTTTGCTATAGAATTGACCGAAGGAGAGAACAAACAGCAGTCCAATATTATTAAGAAGCTAATTTAACTTTTTCAGTTTGTTGTTGACTTAAGTGACCATCGGATCGAATTTCACTTTACTAAGTAAATGTTGTAAAGTAAACTTTGTTCATTTTCTTTACAACTACAAACTAAGAATTTTTTTAGATCAGTTAGGTTTTGTATTCATCCTTCATTTTAAAACTTTTAAAGAGCAAACAGTTCAGTGAGGTCATGGGTCATGTAGATGATAAAACAAGGTGCTGATATAAATAAATACTAATACTCTATGTTTATATTATGTCCTTGAAAGCGTAAAATTCTAACACTGAATGATCATTCATAGTTAATTATTTTTGCTATCGTAAGATTGATCAACTTTGATTTTGAATTCGAAGAAAACTTAACGAAATTACCACCTATTTTTGAAATAATTTAAATTTTATTAAAGGAAATAACTGATAAAATACTTTTAAAATTGAATGGATAATCAATTTTTAACTACAGAATGAATTTAAAGCTGTGAAGACGTGAAGTAATGTAAACATTAATTTATATCCTTTGTATTTTATTAAATTCCTGTATTTTTTCATTACTTTAAAATAAGACCAGTATAATGCAGAAGACAGAATGGTTTACTTGGGGTGAACGACCTTTAATAATTATCCACAACCTTTGACCTACTGTTCTTCCTTCACTTTCGATGCAAGATGAGGCATAGTCAGTTGATGATTTGTCTATCTCTTTTTGGTAATTTGACTACAAGTTTAGCCTGTAGCCCAGGTTTTTTCTCTTATCATTTAGCTCGATTTAATGCCAAGCGAAATTATGATCAAGCTGTAGATAAACTTTATGTGGAACATTTTGAAAAACCAAAAATTGTTCTGAGTCCGAAAATTGATACCAAATTTGCAAAGATAAAAGCAGCGCAACTTCGACCAGGTCAGTGTTTTAGTTATCTGAAGTCTCCATTCAAATTTTTCACAAGAATTCACAATCATGCAATCAGCTACATATTCAGCATAAGACCAAAACAGAGATGCAATGAATGTCATTGATCTGATAATGGCAATATTTATTTATTTCTTCAAGTCAATGTGTGATATAACCAGAGATGTATTCCATTTTATCATAACTGATTTTATCAGATCAATCGATCTAATCATCAGATCATTCATTTATTCGTATTTACTATAATGATATACATTTCAGTTGTAATATTAAACTTTCTCGTTTGATCTGATTTTATTCTCATGCACTTTATCCATTTTCAAAGTGATCACAAATTATTTTGCTATTATAACTTGAAACTATATCACTTAATACTTTTATGTGTTAAATAAAGTTAGTATCTTCACAAATAGTTACTTCTCTTTGATTATAAAAAAATAAACAATTCTTTAATAAAATTGTTTATTTTTTATAAAATTATTTAATTATTAAGTATTTATTTTTTGTAATTTCTTTGCTAATTTTAAAAATTTTAGTAAAAGAACAAAGTGATCGTCCACGGTGCCAACAATGTAAAATGTTACAATCAGTCAGTTCCTTCTGGTCTTGTCCAATTCACTTTCGGAAGATCAGATGCAAATCTTTCACTGCAAAGTATTCTGGCAATGAATGTTTAACTGCTAATGTTACTTGTACTCAGCCGAATCTGTCGCATAAAGCTTTGGCATCGTATCTTACAGTCATTGGAGATGATTTGACAAACAAGTATTGTTAATCTTTGCAAAATTATTTAATTATTAAATACTTTAAATACGAAATTTAAAGTTTTAATGCGAAATGGAAAATTTTAATATAAAATCACTGCAAAGATATTTAATTATTAAATACTTTAAACACCAAATTTGAAGTTTTAATACGAAATTACAAAAATCTCAATACAAAATCGCTTTTATTTTCTAACACATACCAATAATTAACATGAATTTGAATGCTTTTTTTTTAAATCAAATAACAACACTTCAAAAATTGTTTAAAAAACCTAAGGCGCAATTTTTTAAGAAAAAATAAATAATTAGAATTTTGGCATTTGATTTTTTTTAGGAATATAAATTAGTTAAAGCAAATTTAAAATTTATTTTTTTGACAGCTATATAAATTAATTATGCAGTTGTTGTTTTTTGAATATATGCATTTGCATATATTTTGCATTTCTTTTTAAGAGAATGCAAATTCAAATGCATATTTGTATTCATATTAAATAGGATTTTCCTGAAACTCTTGTACATAAGTAATGTACAAATGTTAAAGATCTTTTTTGTTATATAATTAGACTGATCAAAAAAATAGCATAGATTAATTTCAATTAATATTTTAGAGAGCATGTAATGCATATTCTTCAGTACGATGGAAGGCATAGTGATAATACTAGCGATATATTTGATGACAATAATTTGAATAATAAAAAAAATTTTAAAGGGAATTTAATCTGTGATGATTCTGAAAGATGGATTATCCATGCAAATAATCGAAAATATAACGTTGAGTTACTGTATTGCTTAGTAAGCGATGCAAGTAATTTGGTATATGTAAAAGATTTATTTGCTGAATGACAAAAATATTTTTGTATGTTTTTAGCAAATATAATTTTAAATGTATTTTTCAGTATTTTTTGAATTAAAAAGCATTCTTTCTTTGTTAAGTAAAGTTATTTCAGTGCATTTTGTACTTGTTTTCAATTTCAATTGAATCTTTGGATTAAAAATAAATTGTAAACAAAGTATATTAAGCTTATTATTTTATTAAATTACTAAAATTCTCATAATAAATAGTTGCAAGCTTATAATCAATAAATATGCAAAAATTATTTGTGCTAATTACATAGTTACTTAGTAATCGGATTATGCGCAATATTATTTGAATGCAATTTTTAAACATAAAATGAGTATAAATTATTTAAGAAATTATTTTTATTAAGTAACGATTTTTGTGATGACTTTGAGGAAGTATAAATTTTGTGTAAAATTTTGAAAATATCTTTTTTTACATTGTGATTGATCATTTTTCGTGAAAGAAGAAATCAAAGTAGTACTTTAGTTTTGAAGACGATTTTTTCTTGCATTTATTTATTAATCGAAGAATCCAGCCATGCAGAATTCTGTAGGGTATTTAAGAGTTATCAATATAATTTATTTATTTCGATAATTTTTATTCAAATAATTTTATTCAGTAATTTTTTATTCCTATGTTTAGTATTTCTATCTTTACTTCTTTAATGAATAATCAAAAATTAGCTAAAAATTTTCACCTGAAGAGATTTAATTTCAATAATTCTATGATGACATTTTACATTTGCTTATTAATTTAAAAAATTTTCACGTACGTGAACACTTTTTATGGCTTTTTTCCTTATGCTCATCAGTTAATATAAAAGCTATGTTATTAATAAAATTAATAAGATATCTGAAAAAATGAATTGATGACTACTATTTCAAATAAAGATTACGACAATAGCACGTAGAGCATTTATGATTCACGCTTTAATTTGAATTAATTTTTTGAAATTTACTCAAATATCAAATGTTATTTAATCGTTTAGTTTTTTTTGATAAAAACATTTATTATTGTAATTTCGCTTTGTAAAAAAAGTATTGGAATTATAAATGCTGAATTTAACGAATTTTGTGATAATTTTGAAAAAGTATAAATTTCGTGTAAATTTTTGAAAATATTATCTTTTGCATAATTATTGTATATTTTTGATACATACTAATATATAAGTTAATTACAGCAAACTTTTAAAATAAACAATTTTTATTTTCGTGATTAATTTCGATTAAGAATTTTAAAATTCATAATAATATAAGTTAATTACAGCAAACTTTAATTATAGAATTTTAAAATCCATAATCAAAATTAATTTTACTTTTATAGTTATCTCTATATTACTGTGAAAAAAGAAATTCAGAATTATTTATTAGCTTTTCTTTCTGAAAAACTGCAAAATATTTTCATTTGAAATTCTGTAAGTAATTAAAATTGACATTTTTTCATTTTTATCAAAATCATTGTTTGAAAAAATAGCATTTAAGAGAGCTTTTTATTTGGAAAAAATTGTATTTTCATAAAAAATTTTTTGACATTTTGTTGTAATAAAAAAGTACTAAAAGAAATTTTTAATGCAAAATGGCAAATTTGAAAACTTTTTATTAATCAGATGTTTGACAATAAATACACATTAAAATATAAATATAAGACACGAATTACTTCTCCATCACATGAATAATAACACCCTCAAAGTATGAATAATTATGAGAATTAAATACTCTCTAATATTTATTATACATTGAAATGCTAATGATTTTCACGTGCGTGACTATGAATTGTAAGTACACAATATATAAATTACCATAATTAATTTATCATGCCCAGAAGTATTCATATAATAAAATTTTTTAAAATTATTCTATGTCCAAATGTATACGTCTAATTATTATTACAAATGGATATTTCAATTGCACTAACTTTAATCACTTGACCAAACAGCACAACCAACTTTTAATTGACCAAAGGGTACAACAAACTTTTAATAATCAGTCATAATTCCTTCAAGTAATTCTTTTAATTTGAAATCACAAATAATTATTAATTCATTTTTCAAATCTTTCAACTAATAACTTTGTTCATAGCATTTGCAAAAAACTTTTTTTTAATATCTAATGAAACTATTACTTTACTTTTACAGTTTTAAAAAATAATTCAAGTTATGTCTACAATACTAAAATAAGTAATCAGATGAATGAACTGAATAGTAAGTAACATTAACTTTAAATGGAAATTTTTCGAAAAAAGGCGAAATCCTATTTGCTAAACAAAATATAAATTGTTGATATTTGTATTCAGATTATTTAAAATATATATTTATCAAAAAGTATATGCTACATTTCAAACAATTTTCCTTCTGTAGGAAACAAAATAGCGAAAACTATAATTTTCATTTTTTGAATTACCTACAAGCCATTGAATCTGCGGTATCTGAGTAAATACGAATTCCACTTATATTACAATTTAAAGTCATACATTTGCGTATTACAATTTAAAGTCATCGTTTGCGTGAAACTAAAATTAAGCAAAGCTAAAAAATTAAAAATTGAAAAAAAATGAATAATTTTACAAAATATTAGTTTTTTGACGTTGCTGCTTGTTTGTATTTGCTTTGAAACGACAAATTTTTACAAATATTATGGAAAATCTTTCAAAAAAGGTAAGTAAATATTTGAAGTAAATTTTTTAATTGGTTGCAATTTAATTTGATTGCAACAAATAAACAACTGAATTCACCTTTGAATAAATAAAAAAAAATTCATTATTTAATTGCTAAATTAGTCAAATTTGTTAATTAATTTAAGTTAATCGACTTGATTTTTTAATAGTTAAGAATTAGAAATAAAAAAAAGAATTGTAAGAAAAAATCAAG